AAAAAGAAATTTCTAAAATTATTAAGAAAAATGAAAATGTCATGTTTTAATTATGGTAAGCTATTTCCTTTGAAAAAGGATTATAGCCATGGAGCGCCTAGAAATAGTGGTTTTTTTCTAACAATAATTCAAAAAGAAGGCCCAGACTTCAGAAGTATGCAGAACACAGCCTTTTATAGTATGGTAAAAGCTAGCGTTGGACTTATGAATGCAGATCAACAAGGAGCAGGTAAAGTAACTGTTTGCCATTAGGAAACACCCAAGGGAGCCTCCTGCAAGCCACAATATCAGATTTGATTCAATCATTCCCAATTTTGGAGTAGTTCATCCATAGAGCAACAAAAAGATTTAATGCCTGTTAAAAACCAAACTGTTCTGAATGTAACCAAGAACAGAAGAACTTCAGCATACAAAACCAAATTCAATCTACCTTCCTCTTACTGTGTCTTTCTATGATGTTTTCCTATGTTCAGTCCCTGTCAACTGGTTGCTTGCACCACCTCTTGACCAATAATTGACTTTATTTCATCCTGTTTACAGTAAGCAGAAAGCTCTTAGATTAAAGTTGTGTGCTACAGCTGCGCCACATCACAACTAAAACAGGCTTTTCCCAGGGTTTGCAGTGTGGTCAAATATCCCGCAACATTATATACATTATATACAGTTGAACATATATGAATAGTGCTTAGCTACAAAAAGCTAAGGTTTAAAATTTGCAGAGAAATGAATGAACATAGAATGTATAATATTAATCAAGATCACACAGTGTCAGAAACAAAAGCCTGCATGTTCTCTCTAATATGCAAAATGTAGTCAATAATATGTAAATAAATGTGCTTGTGTTTACATGTATAACATGGAGAAAACAAAAAAGGCTAAATATAAGGGGATAAGGAGGAACTGAAGGCAGATAATAGACACGACTTTTGAAAGGAATCAATGCTAATTGTTTTTCTAGTTCTAATTCTGTTATGGATTTTTTTTAATTTGGTGGTACATGAGTGCATAAAATATATTTCATAATGAGTGTGGAAATTTTAATGTGCTGCTCCATAGGTTCCATTCACAGTGCTTCTTCTGATTTTATAGAGGTTCATTGGGTTATATAGATTTGGGATTTGATTAATTTTGGCGTGTGATGTTTTTATTTAGTTTATTATTATTATTTTATTATGTTTATTATTATTATTATTTTAGTTTCAAGATTTTTTTTAAATAATAAATCTTATAAAATCTAAAAAAAGTCAGGTATGGTGATTTGAATAGGTTAGGTCCCCATAGACTCGTGTGTTTGACCCATAGGGAGTGGCATCATTAGGAGGTATGATCTTGTTGGAGTAGGTGTTGCTTTGTTGGAGGAAATGTCACTCTGGGGATGGACTTTGAGGTTTTCTAGTGCTCAAGCTCTGTGCAGTGCAGAATGTCAAACCCTCCTCCTGGCTGCCTGCTGAAGACAGTCTCCTCCTGGCTGCCTTAAGATCAAGATGTAAATCTCTTGGCTTTCCAGTACCATGTCTGCCTGGACACTGCCATGCTTTCCACCATAACGATGATAGTGGACTGGACCTCTGAAACTGTAAGCCGGCTCCAATTAAACATTGCCCTTTGTAAAAGTTGCCTTGGTCATAGTGTCTCTTCATACAATAAAACCCTAACTAAGGAAGAAGTTTGTACCAGGAGTGGGGTATTGATGTGATAGATCTGACAATGTTTTTGTTTGGAGGAATATATTTCTTGGGATTTTGGAATTAGAAAGGTATGAAATCCTTTAAACAGGTAATCCTGGTAGGAATATGGAAGACATTGGTAATGAGGGTAATTTGAACTTTGGGGACCTGGCTCAAGAGTTTACAGAGTAGAAGAGTTTTAGTATGTTGCCTAGAGATCATCTTGTGATATTCTGGAGAAGAATGTGGTTTCTTCTTGCCCTTATCTGAAGAGTCTTCTTAGGAATAAAGCAAAGAGATTCAGATTACATTGACAAAGGAAGTCTCAAAAAGCCAAACATAGATTTTGTCCTGTGGTTCACTCTTATGAAGAGTCTTTTCGATTAAGCATAGCAAACAGAGAAAGGAAAAACTTAAAATACATGGTTCAAAGATTAAAGGGGCATCAGGAAGTAGAATAGAGTTAAATCCTATGTTCAAAAATATTAAATGGAATTAAGGGAGTGGTGACCTTGGAGGAAGATTCTACCCAGTTAAGTTTATTGTTTATGCCTTTGCAGTTGAACAAGGGAGAGTTTGCAGAGGGTTAGGGTTAGGTCACTATGATGGTTTGCATGTGCTCTGCCCAAGGCATATTAGAAGTTGTGGTCCTGTTGAAGCAGCTCTGGACTTGTTGGAATAGGTATGTCACTGTGGGTGTGGGTTTTAAGACCCTCATCCTAGCTGCCTGGGAGCCAGTATTCTGCTAACAGCCTTCAGATGAAGATGCAGAACTCTCAGTTCCTCTTGCACCGTGCCTGCCTGGATGCTGCCATGTTCCCATTTTGATGATACTGAACCTCTGAACCTGTAAGCCAGCTCCAATTAAATGTTGTCCTTATAAAAATTACCTTGGTCATGGTGTCTGTTCACAGCAGTAAAACCTTAACTAAGACAGTCACTGTGTGCATGCCTTTATGGAAACTAAGGCTCTGGAACTTACAAAGTTGTATTCCCTCTCTGTCTTTCTTTTTCCTCTTGTTTCCAAGACATGAGATAAACATTCTTCATCCTCAGTCACTACTGCAAGACAAATTTTTAAAAAGTAATTGGGAGCCAGCTGTTAAGTTTCAAACCCTGGATAAAAGGCTGAAATGTCTAACATCAAAAAAGACCTGACCTCCAGATTCTAGTGCCCTCAGTTTCTACATGTTACAAGGTATGGCTGGCATATCCTGCCCTCTATGCTGAACTCTCAAGCCCAGGGGTTCAAATGGACTGCCCCTGTCTGGGAGGCTCTTTCTTATATAATCTAGATATTTTGGTTACCTGCACCTTTGGCTTCCTGACCACTATGCCCGGCAAACTCTTCCTTTCTCCATTCCACTCTCCCTCTCCCATATTGCTCGGGGTATGACCACTCTCCACTTTCTCAGATGTCTCTGACTCTGGCTATGCTCTCCCCCATAACTATAATAAACTTTCTCCTCTACCATACCTATGAGCAATCATGTCCTTTCTTCCTTTTCATTGCAACGAACATTTTCAAACAAAGAAGTGTAGATAAATGTTCATTAAAATGACCTATTGATCTGGTATGAGGCCTCTGCCTTCTCCTGTTCCATCAAGACTGAAACCTCACTTGAACTCCTGTCAGATATCTAGTTGTTGCCCTGTTTTATGGCGATCCTGTAGTTTTGATTCTGTAGGATCAGCCCTTTCATACACTCCAGCAGTTTTTAGAGGTTGTTGTGGTTGGCCAATTTAAAGCCCTGGGCCTGGGCTCGAGAGTTATCTGAGCTGGTCAGACCTCCTCCTGGCTTTCTTCCTCTTAGGGATAGTTCACCAGCAATGCTCAGAAACCATGGCCTGCTCTACCCTGTTGTCCATGTGAGGTGCAGACCCTGCCTTTCCAATGCTGCAGCTGGTGAGGGACGTGGCCTGTTCTCCTACTATCATGACCCTGAGGCCAGTTCTGTCTGCCAAAAGTGTCAAGGGATGAAGGAGGCGAGGGGGCATATCTCCCTTGCCCATGCTGCTTCAAAGCAGACGTGTAGCTGGGCCAGGCCTTCTATGCTCACACCTTTGAGTCTGTCTCACCTGCAACCCCCATGTCCAAGGCTAGCTCTACTGTGTTGCCCAGGGAAGGTGTAGGGCCCACTCTCTCAAGTGTTACAGCAGGGGAGGGGCAGGCCAAGATCTCCTGCTTTCATGACCCTAGGAAGAGCTCTCCTACCTGCTATAGGTGGCAAGGAGCAAGGGTATGGAAGGGCATCTCATCCATGCTGCCACATAGCAGTCAAGATGATGCAGGACCAACTCGACAATATTCATACCCTAAGGACTTGTAACCCACCCACCCTTAATCAGGGTCAGTTCTACTGTGCTGCACCGGTAAGGGTCAGGGCCTGCTCTACTGAGTGCTGGAGCAGGTAAACAGAAGGGTCAGCTTTTCTGCTCTCATCACCGCAGGGCCAGGTCTCCCACACTCAGATCCTTGATGCCAACTCACCCACAACTCTTATAATACAGTATGCTACACTTGCTCTCTGGAGTACTGCAGCTGGATAAGGGTGAGGTCGGCTCTCCTGGGATACCCAGATGAGGAATTGGGACAGCTCTGCACAGTCCTCAGACATCAAAGTGTTCCAAGGTTCCAAAGGCTAGATGGACATCCCTGACCAGGATGTCCATCTAGCCTTTGGTGGTAACAGACCCTGTTGCTGTAGGGTCATGGACTCAGTCGTTTCCCCTGGTAGCAACATGGTTCCACACCACCATGGTTCCCGGTGGCATCACTGGCCACCCTCATCAGGCTGTTCCCCACTACTCCCAAGTCTCCAGTTCTGCTCCTCCTCATCACACCCATATCCCTCTGCTTCTCCAACTCCTCCATTTGCTCCACCATTCACCTGCTCCTACTAGTGGTGCCTGTGTTCTCTGAGTGTCTGGAGTCATCTCAGCAATGGTCCCAGGAGATCTATGCCTGCCTGTGCTTTATGACACTGGGCAGAGCTCATCCAGGCCATGGTCTTACCCCCTAGGTCTGCATAGTACCAGACTGATTGGGCATCTCAGGCTATCCCCTCTTTCAGTGTCCACAACACTGTTCTGGTGGTCATCTCAGGTTTGTGACTTGCCCAGGCCCATCTGAGTGGCCCCATGTGAAGGCTCCATCTTTCTTTGGCTCACTCCTTCCTGCGGATGTGGTTTCAGGTGGGGTTCCTCTAGTCTCCAACTCACTTCCCACCCTGGGAGCCCATCAGAGCCTGCAGGTGGTTGTCTCAGGGTAGTTCTCTGTTTGGATACCCTGGTACTGGACTGTTGCTCTGCTCATGTCTGTTTTCTTCAAGGAATGTTAGGCTAACAATCATTGAGATGTTCACAGGTCAGAACACTAAGCATAGACATAGCCTCTCTCCTCTCTGCCACCTACTGATGCACATGTGACACAGCAGCCACAACTGCAATGCCTATAGAGGCAGTCACATCATTCTTTTAAGAAGAAAAATATGGGGTATCCTGCTCACCCTGGCCAGTAAGATACTCAGGGTGCAGCAGCCATGATTTGAGCAAGCCCAGGAATAGCCCATAAGGCTGAGAGACCCTGGTAACATCTCTGTGGTACTGATTTTTACAGCTATACAGTATATAAGCATTACAATGTTTAGAGAGCCACCTGTGAAAGCCTAGGAGGCCAGGGACTGTGTGTGTTTGTGTGTGTGTGTGTGTGTGTGTGTGTGTGTGTGTGTGTGTGTGTTGGGATCAGAATTGTAGCAAGCTGCCCCTGACAGGATGATGAGTAGACCTGGGAACCAGAAGCCAAAGCTATAATAGAGATTTCCAGAAGACAAGAATGCCAGGAATGTGGACCAACTACAAGGAAGGCAGAAACTATCCTGAGACATACCAGTTGGGATATGCAGCCAGTGAGACATAGAGCAAAACTTACCAAGCCCATAGGAATCCATCTGTTGTTTGTTATGGACTAGATGCTGGGCATAGAATTCAATGTTTGTCTGTCCATCTGAGTTTAAGCTTTTCCTTAGTCCAATCTCTGTCTGTCCTGTCCCTCCCTTTTGGAATTTGTGTCATCATCATGTTTGATCAGTATGGTAACCATTGGTTTTTCTGACCAGAGTTTGTCTCCTGTCAGAGAAGACTTCAAACTTGATTCAAGAACAGAACTGAAGCAGCTGAAACTTTAGTGATTAACTGTATGTTCTTTTTGATGGAAAGTGGAGTTAAACACCAGGGGTATGAGGCAGAAGGCTATACTTTGAATGTGTTCTCCAAAGGTCTATGTATTAAAGACTTTGTCCTCCAGTCTTTGGCTATGTTAGAAGGTCCTGATATCTTAAAGTGGAGTGGCCTGGGAGTAGGGAGCTACACAGACTGTGATTTCAAAAGAAATTTGAGTCTGTCAGTCTGTCTCCTTCTCTTCTTTCCTTTCTTTTTTCTTCTTTATTGAATATTTTATTTACATTTCAGATGTTATTCCCTTTCTCCATTTTTTCCTCCCACCCAGAAACCCTCTATCCCATCCTCCCTCCTCCTGCTTCTATGAGGATGTTCCCCCATACTGGGGCATGCAGCCTTCATGGGACCAAGCCCCCCCACCTATGCCCAACAAGGCCATCCTCCCCTACATAAACAGCTGGAGCCATGGGTCCCTCCCTATGTGCTCCCAGGTTGTTGGTTTAGATCCTGGGAGTTCTAGTTGGTTGGTATTGTCACTCTCCCCATGGGGCTGCAAACCTTTTCAGCTCCTTCAGTCTTCTCTCTCACTCCTCCATTGGGAACCCCATGATCAGTTCAATGGTTAGCTGTGAGCATCTGCCTCTGTATATGTCAGGCTCTGGCAGACCTCTAAGGAGACAGCTATATCAGGCTGCTGTCAGCATGTACTTTCCTTTCTTTACATGAGTTGATCCGGTTCTCTGCACACATGCTCTCAGCATTATGTTTTATTACCACATGCCCAAAAGTTATAGAGCCATCACTGATTAGAGTCGCTAAAACTTGGAGCTAAAAGCAATCTTTCCTCTTTATAAGTTTTTATCCTGTGTATTTTACTATAGTCATGAAAAGCCACCTGACCCAGAAATTCATATAGTTCTGTGATATCTTAGCAATAGTTAATTACCAACAAAGAATAGAAAGAAGAGCCAAACTACTAAGAAAAACAGCATGAGATAAGGAATTACATTGTCTTAGAGAACTGAATTCTGTGTCGTGGTAAACCTTTCTGGATTGGGTTCCAATAGAGGGGAGAACTGTGAGGGAAAAAGCACAGGAAAATAAGATGTAATGACAGTGTACTCAACATGATAATAGATGCCAAGCACAGAGCAGTTAAGACAAAATGTACTCATTTGTTTTAAAGGGAGATAAAGCACAATCAGCAATTTATTCCATTTTTTTTTTCAAGGAATCGGATACTTACTCTAATTTCAAAGGACACATTCAGAATATAAGCTTCCTGGATCTATAATTTAAAGCAGTATTCATACAAATTACAAAGACAATTTTGAAACCATGGGATGATTTCATTGATTGAATGACATATTGCATTTGATAGTAATGCCCTCTGTTTATTAGATAGTCTACTAAATTAGTAGGTGGCAAATTGTGATTATGATTAGTCATTAAAATGTTTTAAAAGGACAGGGAAACATGAAAGCATGCAATGTTTGGAAGTTCTAGTGCATTAATTAAGCAATGGATTTGATCATCATCAAATAATTTTCTATCTTCATATTTGGAACAGGATTGACTGTACCAATTGAGTAAAGGGTTTCTCATGAACATCTAGTAGAGAAATTTCCATGAGTGTCATAAGTGACACCGCTTTCCACCAGATGCAGTCATTACTGTCCTTTTGTTAATTCTTTTATTTCCTATTTTCAGAATCATGTTACTATATCCTAATCACTGTGATTAAAATTCTGACTTCTATCATTACTTCAAATGTGAATTTCAATGTGATATTTAATACATCATATTATATTCAGATGATGAGAAAGAAGTAAAAACTACAAAGGAGAAAATGATACAACCCTAACATTTGTGTTGCAATGACACCTTTAAATAAGAAAAGGAGAAAATAAATCATAGTTCCAGGGAAAATCTTTCTTTAAAAACATGAGTCTTTAGTGCTAAATTTAATACAGAATAAACAACAACAAAAAGGCAAAAAAAACAAGAAACAAACAAACAACAAAAAGAACCGTTACCCAGTGAGTCAAAGCAAAGTTGTTTTGTTATTGTTGTTATTGTTGTTGTTGTCAAAAATGTCAAATCTTGCTTAATCTTTTAAACTCAAGAGAATTTGTCCTTGAGTTTAAATATATAATGCAAACAACTCTAAGAACTGCCCTTTATAATAAGATGAATATGCAGGGATGACCACAGATGCTTAATCCACCTGGATTTGTTCAATCCATATTATATGATGCTGGAATAATTTACAGATAGTCATCAGTGTTTGACATTGCTGAGAAATCATGAAAAGGAAATTAGTTCTAAACTTCCACTCTCTATGTTCCTAAACAGCAGTATGCATTAGAAATATCCTTGACCACAAAGTGTACTACAGAGCAGTAGTGCTAAAAACTGCATAGTATTGGTACAGAAACAGACATATTGATTAATGGAATCAAATCAAAGACCCAAAGAAACCTACACACCTTTGAACACTTGATTTTTTAAAAAGAACCCAAAATCATACAATGCAAAAAATAAAACCAACTTCAACAAATAGTGCTAGACTAACAGGATGTCTAAATGTAGAAGAATGAAAATAAATCCATACTTATCAACCTTCGAAAAACTCAGGTCTAAGTGGATCAAGGACCTCAACATAAAATGGGATACACTAAATCTCATAGAACACGTTGGTAGAGGAGACAAGTTCCTGAACAGAACACCCATGGCTCAGGCTCTAAGATCAACAATTGATAAATGGGACCTCATGAAACTGCAAAGCTTCTGTAAGGCAATGGATACTGTCAATAGGACAAATCGTCAGGTCACAGATTGAGAAAGGATTTTTCACTAACCCTACATCTGACAGGGCTCATATCTAAAATTTATATAGAACTTAAGAAGTTAAACACCACCAAACCAAATAACCTTATTAAAAAATGAGGTACAGAGTTAAACAAAGAATTCTCAACCAAGGCATCTTAAATGGCCAAGAAGCACCTAAAGAAATGTTCAACATCCTTAGTCATCAGGGAAATGTAAATAAAAAAAACCATGAGATTCCACCTCACACCAGTCAGAATGGCTAAGATCAAAAACTCAAGAGATAGAACATGCTGGTGAGGATGTGGAACAAAGGGAACACTCCTCCATTGCTGGTGCAAGTGCAAACTTGTACAACCACTTTGGAAATCAATTTGGCATTTTTCTCAGAAAACTGGGAATAGTTCTATCTGAAGACCAAGCTATAATACTCCTAGGCATATACCCTAAAGATACCCAACTTCTCACAAAGACACTTGCTCAACTTTGTTCCTAACAGCCTTATTTGTAATAGCAAGAAACTAGAAACAACCTAGATGTCCTTCAACTGAAGAGTGGATAAAGAAGAGTGGGTAAAGAAAATGTGATATATCTACACAATGGAATATTATTCCGCTTTTTAAAACCAAGACCTCATGAATTTTGCAGGCAAATGGATAGAACTTGAGAATATCATCCTGAGTGAGGTAACACAGCCCCCAAAGGACATGAATGGTATAAACTTACTGATAAGTGGATATTAGCCATAAAATACAGGATACCTTTGCTACACTCCACAGGCCCAAAAAAGCTAACCAAGAAGGAAGGCCTAAGTGAGGAGGCTTAAATCTCACTTAGAAGGGGGAATAAAATCGTCATAAGAGGGAAATGGAGGGAGGGACCTGGGAGAGAGGGGGAATGAAGAGGGGGATGGGGTATTCAGGATCAGGTGTGGGGAAGGACAGGAGACATGGCTACATGGCCATGAAAGTGAATGGAAATCTACAATTGACAGAGGTGAGGAAATGGGGGAGGAGGCATCTTCAGGACTATCTAGAGACCTAGGATAAGAGAGGCACCCAATGGGAATGGCCTGAGTTGTGACTTACTCACTACATTGGAAATATGGAACCTGAAGAGGCCATCTTCTATAGCCAGGCAAGAACCACAATGGAGCTATAAGAGGCACTAACCTACCCACAAAACTTTCAACTCAAAATTTATCCTGTAATGCAGGCACAGGGGAGAGAGCAGAGACTGAGGAAATGGCAACCATTCCAATAACCAGCCCAACTTAAGACCCATCCCATGGGCAAGCTCCAATCCTTAACACTATTAATGATACTCTGTTGTGCTTGCAGACAGGACCATATTGTCCTTTGAGAAGCTCCACCCAGCAGCTGACTCAGACAGATACAGACACCCACAGCCAAAAAGTGGATGAAGCTTAGGGACTCTCATGGAAGGGTAGGAGGAAG